TGCCCCAGTCTCTCCTCATAGGGCTTGGCCTGCAAGCCCTTAACCATCCGTGTGGCCCTTCTCTGGACCCTCTCCAGGTTATCCATATCCCTCTTGAAGTGCGGCGCCCAAAATTGCATGCAGTACTCCAACTGCGGTATGACCAGCGCCTGATAGAGGGGAAGTATCACCTCCTTGGTTCTGTTCGTCATGCATCTGCTGATGCACGATAAAGTACCATTGGCTTTTCTGATGGCTTCGTCACACTGATGACTTCTGTTCATCTTGGAGTCCACTAGGACTCCGAGATCCCTTTCCGCTTCCGTGCCACCCAGCAGGTCATTCCCTAGGCTGTAGGTGTGCTGGACATTTTTCCTCCCTAGGTGCAGCACTTTGCATTTCTCCTTGTTGAACTGCATTCTGTTGTTTTCTGCCCATTTGTCCCACCTGTCCAGGTCTGCTTGTAGTTGTTCCCTGCTCTCCGGCGTGTCCACTTCTCCCCATAGCTTTGTGTCATCCGCAAACTTGGACAGAGTACACTTCACTTCCTCGTCCTTAGTCGCTGATGAAGACATTGAAGAGTATCGGTCCAAGGACCGAGCCCTGTGGGACCCCACTGCCCACACCCTTCCAGGTCGATACCGACCCGTCCACTACGACTCTCTGGGTGCGACCCTCTAGCCAATTTGCCATCCACCGGACTGTGTAGTCATCCCATCCCTGCTCAGTCTCTCTCATCCCTGACCCCTGGGTTCATTTAAATCTTGTAGTTTGGCACCAGCATAAAACTGCTGTGTTTTCTCATATCCACCTCACACTGGTTTCCCCAAGGACAACTGGTGAGCATTACAGTGTTCATCTTAACCTGCCCTATCTGTGTGGGTCGAGGCAGGGAAAGTCTTAGCCCTGGTTACTGGTCCTCTCCACCCCAAACTATGTGGGGGAGATGAAGATCCCAGACTCCATGGACTCACCTCTCCTGGCTACAAGAGACAGAGTACTCTGTCTCTGCGGGGCAATGAAGGCCCCTGGGGACTCACCACTGCAGCTGACCACATGGCTTTGCTCAGCCTGCCGGTAGTTTTGTTGGCACGACGTGTCCACTACACCCCGGATGTACTCCAGCAGTCCTTCAGGCTGTTCTTGTCCCTGGCATCGGGCTCCCCCATCTCCTTGTCAGCCATGTACACACCCAAATCACTGTCGAAGTGAGTGATCTGTTGCTGGTCCAAGATGTACATGTACAAAAACCTCACCCACTGAGTGTCATTGGTGTAGTGACGCTCGTGCTTCTCCTGCACCATGAAATGCTCTGGGAGGCAGACATGGCATTGGTCAGGGACCTCCCCTGCCATGCTGCAACTCCTGCCAGGGCTTCAGTGGGACCAGGCAGTGTGGGGCCCCGGGGGCCCCAGACTGGACTGACCCTATTGCCTGCACCTGCCTCTGGCACCTAGAAAGGGGAGCCTGCTGCTTGCCACCATGCTAAATGCCCCCAAACCAGGGTGACTGCTGCCTGCTGCCCCTTCCAATGTGACCTTGCTGCCTCTGCTCAGCTCTGCCCCCACTTCTCTGCTTGCCTGATTCCTGCCCCTGCACCAGTGCTCCCCTGCTCGCTGCCTCCTGTCCCACCACAAACCTCCCTGGGGTGACTCTGGTCCTTCTCCCATGGTGCAGCTGGGATTAGTCACCCCAATATCTCCAACACCTGCTCAGGATGGGGCGCCCCAGGGTCCCTGGGCCCTCTGCTCACCTGGGGGCTTTGTGCAATGAGCCACGTGGGCTCTCAGCACCATCAGTACCATCAGCAGATCCCCAGCCCAGAAGCTCCCAGCCCCCGGGATCCGACATGCCCCCATTACTGTGCAGGAGACAGAGCTGAGAAATCATCAGTTCCCTCCAAAGCAAGAACTCCTCCGCCCAGCTCTGAATATCAGGCCCTGCTCCTGATGCTACCTTGGTTTGGGTATCCTTAGCTAAGGGACCCATCAGCATTGGGGCCAGGCAATGTCTTCTGTTTTCAGGCAAAGCCAGGCTTAGCAGGGCTCCTCTCCACTCTTCCACCTCCTCTAGCAAGAAGCCAGTGCCTGGGGTCAGACTGCAGGACTCCCCAGCACCTGCCCTGGCCCTGTGGCCTCCCCCTGGGGGATAAAGGGGTTTCTCCCACAATACAAATCTTCTTAGTCACACCTTGGCCCATCACTGATGGGGCTCAGCCTCTCCTTGTCACTCCTGTTCACAGCCTTGGGATGCTCTTGGATCTTCTGCTGCATCTGGTCTGCAAGTGGCCCCCATAGCTGGGAGCACCTTTCACTAACCACATGTGAAGAGAAGGCTCAGCCCCTTTCTTTCAGATTTTGGTCTGGACACCATCATCCCAGACATCGGGACCTCGAGATTGTACTGCTGCTATGGACTCTGTGTGGGACGGCCATTACAGACCATCCAGGAGCTGGAGCTGGTGCATAACCCAGAGGCTGCCTTCTGTTGGGGTGAACCACCCAGGCCCCTGCAACATGTTACATATATTGTGCAATTTGCTGGTGCATCACACCATAAATGTAGACTGGCCACACATGCAAAATAATTCTAACGCCACAAAAATGTCCATCCAGCTAGAAAAAGAGCCAATTAGCTACAAAGAGCTTGAAAATGTGTAATAACTTTACAGCTTGTTTCTATCCAACTTTCATTTGAACGTGTGGCAGGGCCCTGATTGCTCACAACTCCAGTGGTCCAGAGTTTGCATTTGCTCTCTACTGGTTCAAGATGCTGGTTTTGAGGTATAAGATACTACATGTTCTGGCCCCTCTGTGGCAGGTTTGTGCCCCAAGGGTGGCTGTGACACTCTCAGGTGGCTGTGTGATTCCTTCCCATTTCAGTCTCTATTACAGCCCCCCATTAATTGCTCACCCACCACACCTTGTTCTTACTAAATGTTGAATAAGGGAGGTTGCTCATGGGCCTTAGAGTGAGCCTTAGTCCATTTGCAGCTCCTTTGGGTCTCTCCTGAACCCCCAATAGGCTTGATTTAACCCTTATGCTCAACGGTCCCTCTTGGCTGGCCTGTGCCTCTGCAGGGCTCCTGTAGCTTCAACGTGTACCTGTGCCCCTCCCGGGCACCTGTACCTTAAAGGATCAATGCATGGCTCCTTTCTTCCCCTACACCATGCCCCAAGCCTCATGGGTGTTCTCTCTCTGTGATGTTACCTATTTGCACACATGGGTCCTTGGACCTCCTGGTCCCTTGCATGGTCTCCCTCTGAAACTGTTAGACCCCTGGTCCCACATGCAGCCCCTCATCTGGGCTCTCAGACCCTCTCGTCTGACTTAGCCCACTCTGCGCTTGTGGACCCTCTGGCTCCACTCAGCCTTTCCCTGGGCGCGTAGGACTTCTGGTCCAGGTCTCAGCCTTTTCCTAGACTCCTGGACCACTTGCTGGACCACTCCCAGTTAGTGGGCTTCTGGGTTACTGGTTCTCTAAGTAGGCCTGGATCCTGTCACTGCAGGGCTTAAGGCTAAACTACCAGTGTGACTTAAATAAACCAGCAGCATTGCAGCACTCTGGCAGACACCTCAAACCCTCGAGATTGAACATAAAACAAAGGCCACTTGCCTGTAAAACCCAGTCTTTCTCTGCCCAGGGAACTTGTCTCTGTGCCCAGGCCTGCAGAGCTGGTTAGATCAGGGGTTCTCAAACTTTGTCATAGTAAGCCTCACCTAGCTATAAACAAAATGACTATGCCTCCCCATAGGTAACTAAAACAACACAACAAATTTAAAATAGTAGGCCAGTATGCTGCACAAAATGAATAAAACATTAATGGGATTTGATCAATAAAGATTAATTTGAGTTTCAAAAGTATTTGTTTTCAGTTCACAGGCAGTATAAATGGAAGCAGTTTAATTAAAATGTCACTTAAATACTTTAGGAAACATGATACTAAACAACTGTAAGTTAATTCAATATAAAATTGATCAGTCCTACCTTGTCTGGGGGGTGGGAGCAGGGGTGTTTCCTTGCTGCACAAAGTAGCAGAATTCAGGGTTGAAGCATAGAAAGGAAGAGACATAAGTTATCTTTAACAGAAAGTTGAGACCTATACTTTGTTTTGATTGCAGTTAAAGCCAAGAAGCCTGACTCGCACGGGGAGGTAGAAGCAAAAGGACTGAGTGCTTTAAGCCTGGTGTTTTAACTCAGGAAACGCAGATCCCACCTCTAACCAAAAGTCTGCGGCTGGGTTTTGTGAAAATTTGTGCTGTGGTTTCTACTTGCTTGGCAGGTTGATAAGGGTTTCCTCTTCTTTTGAGAACAGCGTATCTGTGGGAATCAGCTTAAAGATGAATGGGTTCCTGATCCACTGATTACATCTGGCTTTTCCCACTTGAGGAAAGTATCCACAAAACTGCTTCTGCAGACCTCCTAAGTGCTGAACCATTACATCCTGGATACAGTCAACTGACAGATCACCACATTGTTGCACAACATCCTCCAGTGTTGAAAACATGCAAACAGATCCCTGCCGCACATGGAGAGACCACAGTTCAAAGTCTGTTAACGACTGTTGGTACCCAGGCAATAGCAACGAACACATTTGCATCTCATCCCTGAACTGACACATTCAGAGAATTCGGTCACTCAGATATGTCAGCCAGATACGCCAACAAAGATATCCTATGAAAGTCACTGAAATACTGTAGAAATGGGGGGTTTGCTATTAGTAAGAAAAATATGGACGTCATCGTGTAGTTCACATAGTCTTGTCGGTACCTTGCCCTGGACTGCCAACGGGCTTCCGAGTGTTGCAAGAGCTGCACGAAGTTTGCCTCCATCTCTTCACATAAAATGTCCAAAATAGTTGAAATAGCTGGGTACAAATCTATAAAGTTTACAGTTTTCACTGCAGCTGAGAGAGCATTGCTGAGCCCCTCCGGCATCTTCTTAGCAGCCAACACCTGTCTGTGGAGCGCACAGTGAGTCCAGGCTGCCGTGGGGGCCAGTTGTCACAGGCCCGCGATGCCGTCCTGTCACAGACCTTCTTCCATTGCTGAAAGTTTCAAAACAACTTCCCCAGTCCAGTTCTGTGTCTTGGACAAAAGCATTTAACAGTTTAAAAAGCTCTAAACCAAGTGCTCGTTTGGGGAGAGGATGGCAAAGCAGAAATTCCTCCCTTAATTCTGTTGCTGTAGCAAAATGAACATACACCAGTAGCTGCCTAGCATTTGATATATCTGCAGACTCAGTTATCTGAATGGAATAACATGGGCTCTGATGAACACTTGCTAAGAACTGCTCTTTGACGTCGGTGGCCATTTCCACAATACGGATTGAAACTGTCATTTGAAAGCAGGATCACATCTAATTGTGATGCTGCGTTCTGCTCTGTCATCATCCAACACATATCCTTTGCAGCTGGAAGTAATAGTTTCTCACCCATGTCGTGAGACTTGCCCCATGTTGTACACTTCAAAAACTTTTTTTTTGGTCCCGTTAACTCATTGCGCTTCTTCTGAAGAAACTATGAGTTTAGATACTAAGGTAGGGTGTCTTGTTTCAAGATGACAGCATAGCTTGGAGGGCCGCGTACTGTCATTTGCCAGTACTTCGGCGCATAGAACACCTTGAGGTCTCAGTGCATTGCTGGACCTGCTCCAGGTAAAACCAAGCTTTAAATAAGCTTCATCATATTTTCAACCTTTGCATTTTGCTGGAACCTCTGCTGCTGTGCCCTCTTTGCAGGGGTGGTACGCTTTTCTCCCTTTGTCACAAAATGTTCCACTTCTCATTTCAGCTGTCTCTCGCTAAAGCACACTGCTGAGCTTTGTAAGTTTACTGATGAAAAACAATGCAATGTGCGTCTGATGCAGGGGTGGGCAATTATTTCATCTAGAGGGCCATGTAATGAGTTTTGGTGAGCTGTCATCTTGGGACTGGAAGTCCCACCACCTAATCCCAGACTTCTGCCCTCAGAAGTACTCCTTTTCGGAGGAGGGGAGGTTTGCCATCTTGGAACTGGAAAAAAAAAATCATATACTAAATATTTTTAATTTAATTGAAAAAAAAATATTTTGTTTTGATTTATGTGCGTTTGCACAGTGTATATAGAGGTGACTGTCATAGCTCAAAACTCTTGTTTATTGTGTGTGTAGGGGGTGTGGGGTTGGGGGTGTGTGCGTGTGGATGGGTGGGGGTGTGGAGTTTGTGGGGAGGTATGGGTGGCTGGATGTGGGGTTTGTGGATGTGTGTGGGGTAGGGAAGGGTGTGGATGTGTGTGGGGGAGGTTGTGGGTGTGGGGTTTGTGGAGTGTGTGTGTTTGTGGGGGGGGTGCATATGGGTATGGGGTGGGTATGCGTGTGCCCTCCCATGGTGCACAGTCCCTGCCATGGCAGCAGCAACAGCAGCAGCAGCTGTAGGGCTGGGCTCTTGGGGCACCCATGGCCTGCGAAGGTGGAGCACCCCAGTGACATGTGGCCCTGGCCAGTTCTGGGAGCTGCACATGGTGGCAGAGAGTGCCACCTGTCCCATCGTGTGGGGCTCCCGGCAGCTCACGTGCAGATCTCAGAGCTCTCACATCACAGTGGGGAAGCCCCGTGCAATGGAACCAGTGGCCAGGCCCCCTTCCCCACCACGTGCAGCTCCTGGGACTGCACTGGGAAGCAGGGAGCAGGGCTGAGTTGGCCTGGCTCCATTGCACATGCCTCCCTGACATTTCTGCTGGAGTCCTGGAAGCTGCACGTAGCAGCAGGGAGTGGGGAAGGCTGCTGGCTCCATTGCATGGGGCTTCCTCCTGGGAGCGCACAAGTCCCAAGAGCTGCGTGTGAGCTGCAGGGAGCCCTGCACAATGGAACTGGGCCTATCTGGACTCTGCACTCCCACCACCCCACTGGTCCTGGGCCCCATGCTTTGAGCTTCACACTCCCAGCAGTCCCAGACCCACGTTCTGTGTTCCCACCCAGCTTCAGCTTCCTCCCGCCCACCCTCACTTCCCTACGTGCTGCCTGGAGTGCTGCAGCAGTGATAGGAGAAGGAGCTGCTGGAGGCTGGGGTAGCTGAGCAGCTCTCTGGGTGGTGGCAGCGGCAGCCCTGATCGGCAGCTGTGTGCACTGGCCAGGACTGGGGCTGGATCCCTCCTGCACATAAGGACTGGAGGACAGTGTGCTGCCCGGCTGGGAGTGGGTGGGGCTCAGTAGGCACCCGCTCATGAACTGGAGGAGTAGTCTGGGGGGCCAGATTTGGCCCATGAGCTAGATTTTTATGAATAGTCTGGTGGGCCAGATTTGGCCCATGAGCTAGATTTTTTCCCATCCCTCTTCTGACATATCACAGTTGATAAGCAACATTAATATACTAAAAACAAGGCTTTTGCGTTATGTTGTTTTGATTTATTTTAAAATATAATACATCTAACATATATAACTTTATTTTGCAACTCATCCAACCTCTCCTCAAAAAAAAAGACTCACAGCTGGAGCCTCCCTTGACATGATGCCGCACCTCCCCAGGGAAGCCAGCCTCATAGTTTGAGAAATACGGGTTTAGGTAAATCCGGGTCTCTTCAGGAGGAGCCCTGCTCTGCTACCAGCAGCTCCTCACTTCATGGTTGTCGGGGAGAGACTGCCTGACTGGAGCAGGATCTGGGCTTATATAGCTCCAGCATGAGCCCACTTCTGGTCAGGCGAGTCTCCCCTTTAGCAGCCTCTCCGCCTTCTTGCTCCCTTAAACAAGCAGGCACATCCCAGTGCCCTGCTATACCCTTCATGCCTAGGGAATCACCTTCTCCCTTACACCCCATCTCACTCCCTAAAGTCAGCTGAGAGCAACTTTCTACAGATACCACTGAGGCATGCATTTCACTTGGTAAAGAAATGGGAAGTCATTCTTGGTTGCTGCTCCTCAGTCTGGAGCTCCCTGTCACACATCCCGCAATAGTAAAGGCACCTGAGACAAATAGCCCATCAGTGAGATGAATGCCAGGAGCCTGATAGAGCTGGAGAGAGGGAGGCTTTTCAGTATCCAGCTGGGATAGATTCATGGCCTTTGGAGCTCAAGGTCTGGCGGTCCTAGGTGTCCAACAGTCAGGGCTGGGAGCAGCAGCAGGAAGCTGAACTGGGGAAATCCTTGCAGGCCTCTTTGGAGGGTTGGGCTGTAGATAGATTCATAGATGTGAGGGGCTGGAAGGGACCTTGTAGATCATTGGGTCCAACCCCCCTGCACTAGGCAGGAAAAGACAGCTGGGGTCAAGTGACCCCAGCAAGGTGACTGTCCAGTCTCCTTTTGAAGATTTCCAGGGTAGGTGACTGCACCACCACTGGAGGGAGCTTCTTCCACAGTCTGGACACCCTGGAAGGTTTTCCTGGAACTGAGCCTGAAAGCGGCCTTCCAGGAGTTTGTATCCATTGCTCCTGGTCTTCCCCAGGGGTGCCCTGGTGAACAGCTGTTCACTGAGTTCTTGATGTACACACCTGATATAGCAGTAAGCCACTACCAAGTCCCTTCGCAGCCTTCTCTTCTGTAGGCTGAAGAGCCCCAAGTCCCTCAGCCTCTCCTTGTATGGCTTGTCTTGCAAGTCCCTGATCATACAGGTGGCTCTTCTCTGGACCCTCTCAAGTTTTGCCACATCCTTGTTGAAGTGCAGCACCCAGAACTGGACGCAGTACTCCAACTGCGGTCTCACCAGTGTGGAGCACATTGGGAGTATCACTTCCTTAGTTTTGCATGAGATGCATTGGTTGATGCATACCAGCATGTTGTTTGCCCTTCTGGCCACAGCATTGCACTGACAGCTCATGTTCATGCGATGGTTGATCACTACCCCTAAGTCCCTTTCAGCCATGGTGCAAGTCAAATTCTCACCACTGTGCCTGTAGGTATGCTGTAGGTATGCCTGTAGGTATGTAGGACTTGTTTGCCCCCAGATGGAGCACCTTCCACTTCTGAGTGTTGAACTTAATCTGGTTCTGGTCTGCCCAGCTCTCCAGCCTGTCCAGGTCTGCCTGTATCTGCAACCTATCTTGTGGCATGGCCACACTCCCCCATAACTTGGTGTCATCCGCAAATTTGGCCAGCGAGTTTTTCACTCCCACATCAAAATCATTGATAAAGATGTTGAAAAGCACTGGTCCGAGCACAGACCCCTGAGGGACACCAC